TGCTGCTTTGTTTCAGAAGAGTTTCTTTTAGAGCGATGCAAAGGCGAACTCTTTGAGACTCGGTGTTTTACCACAGCAACTCCCCGAAATGGTTTTTTGCCAAAAGCACATAATTTTCAAGTAATCCAGTACTTACTTCCCTAAGTAGTAAAATGAGGTTTCTCAAGGAGGAATTTGGGGAGGCCATGGCAAAGACAGACAGACAGATGGGAGGGAGGGAAGGAGGAAAGGAAAAGGAGGAGGAGGAAGGAAAAGAAAGAAAGAAAGAAAGAAAGAAAGAAAGAGAGGGAGGGAGGGAGAGACAGAGAAAGAGGAAGAGGAAGAAAAAGGAGAGTGGGAGAGGGGAAGGAAGGACAGAAAGAAGAGGAGGAGGGGGAAGGAAGGAGGAAAGGAAGGAAGAGAAAGAAAGGAAGAAAGAAAGAGAGAGAGAAAAAGAAGGAAAAGGGAGGCGGGAGGAAAGGAAGGAAGAAAAAAGAAAGAAAAAGAAAAAGGGAGGGAAGGAAGGAAGGAAGGACAGAAAGAAGAGGAGGAGGGGGAAGGAAGGAGGGAAGGAAGGAAGAGAAAGAAAGGAAGAAAGAAAGAGAGAGAGAGAGAAAGAAGGAAAAGGGAGGCGGGAGGAAAGGAAGGAAGAAAAAAGAAAGAAAAAGAAAAAGGGAGGGAAGGAAGGAAGGAAGGACAGAAAGAAGAGGAGGAAAGAAGGAAGACAATTAAAGAAAGAAAGAAAGAAAGAAAGAAAGAAAGAAAGAAAGAGAAGGAAAAAGAAACGGGGGAGGAGGAAGGGAAGGAAGGAAGAAAGAGAGAGAGAGAAAGAAAAAGGGAGGGTGGGAGGGAGGGAAGGAAGGACAGAAAGAAGAGGAGGAGGAAGGAAGGAAGAGAAAGGAAGGAAGAAAGAAAGAGAGAGCAAGAAAAAGGGAGGCAGGAGGAGGACAAGGAAGAAAAAAAGAGAGAGAGATAAAGGAGAGTGGGAGGGAGGGAAAGGAAGGAAGGAAGGAAGGAAGGAAGGAAGGAAGGAAGGAAGGAAGGAAAGAAAGAAAGAACCGGGTTCTCTATTCCATTCCATTCCATTCCCGTTCCCTTATAGTAAACAGCAGTATTTTCACTTTTTTGCAATATTGCACTTTACCACTAGATGGCAGGGATGTACCATAAACCGCATAGCAGGAGAGCACTTAATCTGATACGCTTAAGGAATCTGGCAGTGCATTCTCTGATAAATTTAAATTAAATAATCATTAGAAAACATATTAAAATCGCATTGGAATTGGTTAGTTGAAAAAGGTGAGATCAGACCCCTTTTGATTTTGCTACCGTAAATGGCAGGAGCTACAGGGGTAGCTTTAAAAAAGAAATTGCTGTGGTACATCAGTGTCACACCTATTCAAACGGAAGAATTAGACTTCCCCCAAACCTTGCTAAAAAATACTGATCCAGATTGAACTATTCTCCCGTCTGAATATTTTTCAAAGAAGGGAGAGGCACAATGAAAAATCGGCCCTCCTTAAATGTTTCCTCTAGTTTTCTTTTCAGCTGCTATTCTCTGCTCACTTGCTTCTCACAGTTAAGATTTGTGGTTCAGACCAGTAGTGGGTTGCAGGCGGTACGCCCCGGTACGGGTGTACTGGTGTCTGCCCGGAGCACCTGGTACCATTCCGGTACGGTGCTCCAGAGGGCCCACCCGCCTGCCCGAGCTCTGTACCTGTATTTGAGCTCTTTGGGGCTTCCGTGCACGCACCTGTGCGACAAGCAGCTGGAGCCTTGCGGAGGCGTCACAAGAGGTCAGGACGAGCACGGTGCACGTCTTCATGTGGTGGACGCTGGCACAGTTGCAACGGGATCCAGAACACACCACTGGTTCAGACCAAGTCGTAAATCAGCTAGTGAGGTGAACAGGTGAGTTGAGAATAAAAAGGCAGAATTGCCTACATTTGTACTTAATAGGGAATAGCCAAGAAGCCGGAGTAGACGAGAGGAAGGTGTTTCATATTTTGTGTTCTAATAGAACTTTGCCCAACCTGTTGATTTTAAGAAGAGATAGGACTGTGAGAGCCAACCTATGGCAAGTGTGCACAGGTGGCACACAGAGCTTTCTCTGTAGGCATGTGAGCTGTAGCCCCAGCTCAGCTTCACCACTCATGCACATGTGCCTCCCGGCAGCCAGCTAATTTTCGGGTGTCTGCTACGAATGTGTGGAAGCAGGGCACGTGCGGGAGATGTGCTAGTCGTTACTTTTAAAGCCCTACATGGTACTGGACCTGGTTACCTGAGAGACCGCCTCCTGCTGTTTACCTCCCAATGACCAATAAGATCACACAGGTTGGGCCTCCTCCGGGTGCCGACAATGCCGGCTGGCGGCCCCCCGAGGGAGGACCTTCTCTGTAGCTGTGCCGGCCTTATAGAACGAGCTACCCGCAGAGATCCAGACCCTCACCACTCTCCCGGCCTTCCGTGAAGCGACCAAGACCTGGCTGTTCCGGCAGGCCTGGGGCTGTTGAGTAATAATCCAGCCCCACGTGACTGAATGGTGATTT